CCTTACTCCTCTATAATTATTTTTTCTAAAAATTCATTGCCTCAAATATTGGACATAGCTTTAACTTTTGGCAGTATTTTTACGGCTCATACGACCTTAAATGTCAATATCAATCATCATTTCCGTCGTAGTCAGAGTTTAGACCTGACTAGAAGAAGCACAATATTTTTTTTCGGCTACGTATAACAATGAATAGCTGACACTTCGGTCTGGTGTTCGTCCCGCGTATCTAGCTAATTGTAAGTGCCAGTAGTTATCGATAGCCATATAATCTCATTACTGTTCTGTATGTCTGTTAAGACCTGTACATGTACAATAACGTGCTACACCCATGATTTTCTTTTAGTCTTGTTTGTCCACTCAAAATATTCATATTTCGTTGTTTTTTTTGCTTAGAATAAAAACTGACGGAGTCAACGTAGCATCCCTAGCTCAACGTAATTTAATTACGAATTTATCATTGAAAAATGAGAAAATAATCGTGTTCCCAGTCGATTAAAACAATCAAATTTGTAATTAAATCTTTTGACCTCTTTATTTCGTGACTTTCCATTCGCGGGAGATACGCGACGACTTTTTAATTACAAAAACTGGACGGAGATCGGTCGATTGTTCCCTCCTCCTTTCAGCTGTCTTTCTTTCCTTTTCCGAGAACACAGACGAGCGTCGACGATTTTTAAAATCAGCGCACGCCTGAGTTATGCGCCGTTACACAATGACGAAATGACTTTGACCAATTATTCCAGTGACCGGCCTTCAAATTCGTTATCATTCCGATAAGACCGACTAAAACTCGGCTTTTAATGTTTTGTTACAGTCACTTACAAGTCCATGGGGAAGTGACCTCGTCGCGAACTACAAAACAGGATAAGAAAAGAGATTGATAACACAATTTCACGATACCACCGCTATCTGGTTTTTGTACGAATCTGTTCAAAGTTTTCGTTCATTTCAATGGGTGACTTATTCATCTCTAATTTATTATCACACACTCGAGTCTATTGAATCAAAATTATACGATTACAATTCATGATCATTCACAACCCTTCGAAGATCGTAGCTGTCTTAACACGGTTTCAATTTCCTATTAGATACGACATACCTAATACAGACATTCAGGAATTACCTATTTTCGTAAAATAATTCAATCATTAAGGAATTCCTGTCGTCTGTCGTATTCACGTTCCTCAATGAGAACGTTCAGCTGCTGAACGAAAACGTTCTGTAGTAACATCTGTGCACGCATGAATTTGACTAAAATTAAAATAGAAGATTAGAATAGAGATACTGGCATCGTTCGATGCCAAAAATATCTTTATCACTGTTTGTACAACGAACTTAATCGTTATCACCGACGAGACTGAAAGAAATGTAAGTAACAGTTTCGCGTGCGATCGTTCCAACCGGAATTGCGATGGTCAGGTCATGGGCTTTCACAACCACGACCAACCGACTGT